TGTATTTAAAACCAAGGATAACTGGATGGATTGACAATAGTAAATGCAAGTTTAATTTGCTTCAGCAACAATATTTGAAACTGTTTGTCCATTTCACACACACACTTTCCATCAGAGACATTACTGTTTTTTCATGTTTGTTGGTGAAATCCTTGAGGCAGTTACCTGACAGAGCAGTCTCATTCCTAGTAAGAGAAGCTGCTTGCTCAACAATTGTCTTTTAATAATCCCATTTCCAGTCTTACATCTGAACAATGAAATGCTTAATAACTTTCCTTGAATTTTGGAAAGAAAAAATTTTAATGCATAGTCAAACAGTAAGTAACTGCCCTAAGGAGGCAATGTGGTGTTTTGTTCAGCAATCTAAGCAATAACTGGCTAATATCCTTTAAGGTTCTCACAAATTCATCACTCCCAAGGTAAAAGATACTTTTGTCTTTTTCTTTTATGTAGTTATTCACTCATTCTTGTTGAGCAGAAGGCCCTAGTCTTATTCATGTATCAGTCAGGGCTTATTTATGCAATGACAACTGTTTAGTGAAACTCCTTATTGATGGAATTTGAATGCAGGTAAAATGTTTTCTTTCATTTTTGCAGAGCTTTTTGTGTCATATGTGGAGCATTTGAAGTATAAGTAAATTAATACTATATTCATCCTCTGTGGGATTTCATGTTGCTTAGGATTTCTTTGCAAATAGACCTAATACATAAAATGCACCAGTGCCCTTCAGCATAGATCACAGCATCAAGCCTGCTTTTGAACTGCCAAATGGCATTTTTACTGTTCAAAAGGAGCCATTTTTAAGACTTTCTCAATTTGCAATATGTCTAAAGTATATTCCAGACATTAGATTACTGTTCCAAATTATTATTAAATAGTAAAGTAGGATTAGCATATTGTTCCATATTGAAAAGATACCATATAGTGCATCAATTTATGGCTTTCAAACATCAGAATCTGCTTTTCTAAGATCTTTCAGGCAGACATCTCATCTCAAGTTACCTTTAAAGGTACTATTACTAAATGTACTATCTTGAAAGCAAATGCAGCTAGGGGCTGAACTGAAGCCCACTGAAACCAGTGGAAAGACATTACTGACTTGATCAAGTTTCATCAGAAGACTTTTCAGTACACAGTAACCCTGCCAGATAGGAGTCCAAGTTAATTAAAATTTGTTACTAATATTACCTCCTTGGAATCCCTGCAAATTTAGTCTCTCTCAGGTCTTGGCTGCCATCAGTGATGCGTTTAAAGCCAGTTTCTGCTTGGATTTAGACACCTTCATCTTTTCCAGCTCAGTAGAGTTGGACCTATTGAAAATTAAGAGCAGATTTTGGCAGAGAAATGACAGAAGCAATTCCAGCGGTGATTACCCTGTTCCCACTATGAAAACAGCAAGGTGTGCTTCCATGCTGGCCAGAAAGCAGTGTGTAGTCACATCATGTGAAAAACATGACTTTCTCTTCTCAGTAACAAAAGTACAAAACCATAGTGCTGCTGTCTACCTTTAGATGTAAACCTAGTTTGTCCCTATATTGTTTGAAAGTATGTGGGATAAAATATCACCTTTTCACGTTATCAGGTTGTCTGCTACCATAAAAAGCTGTACCTTTTCCTCACCAAATATGACTAATATTAAATGACTGCAACAATTCAATGGACTATTACTGCAAAAAAGAGGGTTTGTCCTCTCATTTTTGTGACAGTTTTACAACAAAGATGAAGACTCATTACAAAACTAGATACATTAAGTGTTTTTTCAGGGACCTGAGCAGGGTAGTATAGGATCATTACTAGGTGGAATATGAATTGCCTCTCAATTTTGAATCTGTGAAGCTGCCTTAAGTGTCACAGGATTTCCTCTTACCATGTATCATTACTAATTGTTGTTATTAATGTACTAAAATTTAAAAGCCTATTCCTATTCAGGAACTGGGGTCCTGTTGTGCTTCAATAGATCTGCAAGATCTGGGAATAGATAGTTCTGTTTTCAAAAGTTAGGGAAACTGCCTTAGTCACAGCCATCTCTAGCCTGCAATAGGTGGTGCTTTTCTTGCAATAAGCCATGACTTAACTGTTAAAACAATCTCACAGTTGTGCCTTATTCCTCATAGCACACTGCTAGAAGACAGTAGAGAGGTGCCAAATGCTTGTGTTCATCATATTTGCAGCCCCTAATTTAAGGCCAGATTCTTCTTCCACTTTTCTCACATTAGGTGTGTCTACATATGCAATGAATGCAAAGCAGGAAACTCTGGAGTTTGAGCATATACTCCAGAGCAATAAACTCCAGAGTTTATTGCCATTTGAATGTGCTCCTGGGAGTGCAGCACATTGAGATGGATTGAAGCAGCCCTGGCAGGGCCAGGGGGTCAGCCTGCCAGCCCAGGGCTGCTCCCCCAGGCTGCAGCGGGGTTGGCTGGGGCATAAGGATGCTTCATTGCAGGCCTAGTCAGCAGGGTAGTATCTAGACATGTGCTGCTGAGGAGTTTTTTACTCCGCAGCAGGATAGTACTTGTACTTGCAAGTACTTGTACTTACAAGTACTATCCTGCTACACAGTAAATTAATCTGCTCCAGTCTAATAGGGGCACGTGTAGCTGCTGAGACATTTACTGCATAGCTAATTAGTCTACTGTGCAGCAACTGTCTCATGTAGACATGATTACTGAGTAATACCCTCCTCTCTAAGTCCAGTACCATGCACTGAAAGCAAGGATGGTAGAATATGACTGTCAGTCATTTTTCAAGAATAGCATCTGCTGCACTGACAATATTCTTTCTCTGAATTTTGTGCACACTTGTTATACTTGTGGTTTCCTCATGAGCTTAAACCAGTCAAATCTATCTGAAATAAATAGACTGGCCTTGTTGCCACAGCACTGAAGTAGGTGAATGATGTCATTCACAACAAGCTATAAACAGTTACAGCAACAAAGACATCAGGTCCACACCTACACCGCGTAACAAAAACCTGTATGTGCAGTTATGGATGAGAATCATTATACTTATCTTGCCATAATTTCAAATACATGAGGAATAAGGGCAGTTAGAACTCAAAAATCCCAGGCACGGTACTTAATGAACTAGCTGGCAGTATATTCATGTATTGTCATCCCATTGCTTTTGATTAAGTTATAGCTACAAAAAAGATGGGCGGCATGAAAGAAAGAGGCAAGGGAACAACAGAAAAAATCATCACTCACATAACAGTTCTTGGCAGTTGTAATTACCTTTGGCCTGCAGTTGGTCATCATACTGGCAGATAGCAGCTGGCCTTCTGGTCAGATTGCGCCCTTAGGCACGTAGAGCGGCCAACCAGCCGTGCTCTGGAACACCTCCAAAATGTCAGACAGTCTTGTTATCACATGGCCACTCATCTGGGAAGATGTGTAGTGGCGGACTGCTTTGTCTTCTACAAAGTGAATAAAGCTGCATGAATGGTCATGAAAATGACAGTCAGTACCCCGTCTAAGCATACCAAATTTGTGGTTGGGGCTGGAATGGCTTCACATGCTCTCTAATAGATGTTAACTTAAGTCCTCTTTGATGTTGATAGCTACACAGGTTCAAGCTCTGCTTGGTTTAATATCAAAAATAAAGATAAGTGTGACAGTGGTGAAGAAGACCTTTCTGTTGTGGGCATTATGGTACTGTCACCTATTACTTACCAACTGACATTTTCCAGGAAGGAATTTCTTTGCTTACATGAACAGGTGTTGTTGGCTTTATAAAATCAGTTTACTTAAGGGTGGGGTTTCTACATAATAACATTGTTTATTACAAGTTGGGTCATACAGATTAAAAAAGCGTGAATTAGTTATTCCATCCTTTGATCAGCAGTGAAACACTGAAAAATCCCACAGATGCAGTTTCAGAGCATCCCCTTCTACCACCCTTGCAACACAGAATTTGAACTATCACCTTTAAATCAGTATAATAGACAGGAACATTAGAACTAAGAGACAGGGCAGTTGAAGAGAGTAACAAGACTTAAGTCTTTGTAGCAGAGGGTAAGGATTACAGGGTTGATGGAAGAAAGGGATTCGGATGGAGTCCAGAAAGAAAGTCTTCAGTGTCTCAGAAATGGAGAGTGGCTTTGAAGACGGTACCAGTCCTGATAGCTCATCACAGTAGGATTCAGAATGGGGAGTGCCGGAGAACCTAGAGTGACTAGGTGACTGAGATGTGCTATGATGTACGTAGCTGTTCCATGTCACTAAATAAAGAGTTTCTTTTAGTTAAAAAATTGGGCACTTCTTACAGTGTCAGTAATTTCTCTTTAAAAAGCAGCAAGGCAAGGGGAGCCTTGTATTTACTTTGTTATAATATTAATTTGGGGGACTGGTAGGTTATTTGCAACTCTATTAAAGTTAGAAAATCTTGCATGTTTGGGATTTTTATCATGGATTTTTCTTCTTGTTCCCCACTTCAAATTTAAGCACCAGTTTTTCTTCTTACCTTTATGAATGCAGTCAGTTACATTTTTTTTTGTCCGCGTAGTGGGCCAGATTGTGAACTATTTATTCACATTGAAGGGCAGTGCCGATTGGTTTTGTGTGCATTACTGCTAGCGAATGGGAACGATGTCTGCAGCATGAACCTTTTTCAAGTCTCATCCAGATTGTACTTTTGAACTATAAACATGCTTCTAAAGCTTTTCCTAAATATAAGCTGCTCTTTTGTGGCCAGCACTACTACCACTTTTTGGGCAGCATATTTACTTGAGATTTTGTATGCTGAAGTGTTCTTTTATATTCTCTTGTTGGTCTCTTTGTTTTTGTTGGCAGATGCTTCTTTGATTCCAGCAAATATTTATGTCACTGCAGCTCTGCGAGGAGTTCCAACTCGCTCTGCATTTCACATGATTGGATCCAAGAGTTGTGTGGTTTAAAACTGGAAGAGTGCAATGGGCATGAAAGCCAAAAGGCAACTTGGAGCCAATTTCCTGTTCTAAAGCTTTGTTCTTTTTTTTTTTTTTTTTTTGGTGTCTATATAGGTGTCTCATGATTTTGCAATCAACTTCAATGAAGACAACCCAGAATGCGCAGGTAATGCCTACATTAAGGAAAATTAACTGCTGTACTTCTGCCATAAGCAAAGTACCACTGTACTTCTCATGGCTTCTACTGGCAATTGTTTAGGATGCCCACTGAGGGGAATGGACAAAAATTTCTAATTAGTTAGTGATTTTAGATGCTTCTGTTTGCAGCGTTCACCTTTAAGTGCCTTAACAGGGCCTGATTTTTAGAAAGTGCCAAGCATCTACTTTCTGAAAATCAGGCCCTCAAAGTACATCAGGTTGAACACGCAGTAACTGAGCCACCCAAGATTACTAGTCACTTCTTAAAATTGCAGCATTCTATTTGCCCAAAATTTTAACTCTGGCTGAGGGGAATGCTATGTGGCTCAGGAGGATGGGAGGTCTCTTTCCCTCAGCATGGTAAGCAACACACTACAAGCCCATCTTAATGCAGCGTAGAATTTTCTCTTTGTTTTTCTATCTGAAAGCTGAACTAAAAATTGGCACTGATTGCTAATCAACAGTAGTTAAAGAGGCTAAAAGTGTTGAGTAGATTTGGATAAATGTGTTGTAGTTATAAGTGACACGCAGTAATGATTGATGCTTTGACACTAACCTTTTCTGACACAACTCACTGCTTACTTTGCACACGTATTACAGAGAGAGAGAAACTAAAAATGCTCTCCCTTTATATCAGAGCTGGGAATACAAAGACTTTTCCATGAGAACACTGTTAAAACGCCTTGCTGGATGATTGTCACTGTTTCAGGCTTGTATTACTATGCTAGGTCATTCCTCCTCTCTCTGTTCAATAAAACAGCCCTTTGGAAATACTCTTTTCCCTCTGTCTCCTCCACTGCTAATTTATGCTACTATGGAGTTTTCCATAGTATTCATTCAAAACTAATATGGAGAAAGAAAATAGGCTCAGGACCAGGAGTAAACTGCATGTTCAAGCAGGCAAGGAGATAGAGTTCAGAAAAGAAAAAAGGAAGTGATAAAGGAAAATATAGCAGTAAAGGGCTGCGCTCCTCTGTTCACCATTTTATTTATTTCAGCCATCATGGATCTTTAACCCAGTCTTTCTAATATGGGTCTAGTAGATAATCCAGCTTTATGTGCATTCTGGTAAGTGTGAAAACACAGCATTGTGTGCATATTTGCTTCCTCAGCCTGTGGAACTCAGGTTCTTCAATTTGATTTGGATAACCTGGAGGGTTAGCACAGCATTTTCATCTGCTTACCAAGGAAAGTTAAAGGAGGCATACAGAAATGACGTGTCACATGATCGGCCCCCTCAAAGCAGTCTACAGCCATGCCATGACACACATGCACAGCTGCTGAGCACTTTAAAAGTGCCTAATCACATGACAAATAGGCCCTCATATAATGAAGAATCAGATGAAGTCACTCCAAAATGGAGTGACTTTGGGAACTTCTGTCAATCCCTGTGCGCAGTTGGGGCTGAGCTAATGCAGCCCAGCCCTATCCCTGGTGCTTTCTGCAGGAAGGGAGGGGGGAAGAAGGGAGCGGGAAAGAGGTGCGGGCTGGGGTTTGCCCAGCCTGAGTTGGAGTGGCGGGGGGGGAGGGGTGGCTGGATTGGAGCCCCTCCCTCAGCCCTCCCCTTCCTCCTCCAGCTCAGGCTGAGCAAACTCCAGCAGCTCCCTCCCTTCTCCCTTCTTCTCCCTCCCTTCCTGCAGACAGCACCAGAGCTGGGACGGGGGGAAGGGCTAGGGGAGAGAGGGTGCAGGCAGGCAGCTCCTCCACTGAATCAGCTCCAAAGTAGAGCTCAATTCCCTCCTCCTCCCCTCCTGGACCCTGCAACAAATGTCTATTGAGTTGGGCAGGGATGGGGGAGGGTGGCTCTAACTTACAGCGCTTTCTGTGAAGTGCCATGACTTACAGCGGGGAGTATAACACTTAACAGGGTGCCTCATGCTTAACAGATACAAGAAAAAGTTCTAAGACTAAGGAGCTTGTATACAAAAGAAACAAAGGTATACAAAAGAAAATGCAGGAAAGAGGTGGTAAGAAGTGAAAAAGGAAGGAAGGAACTGTGACATTCCTTAGTTGTTTTTTGAACACTGCATTGGTTTACTTTTTTGTTGTTCATTTAAATTTGTTGCCTTCTGTATTTAAGACTTAATCATCTCATTAGTTAACACTTCAAGTGCATGGGCTAAGAAGCTGTAGAAAGCTGTGGTGCAGCATGAGAGAGACTGTTTGGGGGAGAATTTAAAACCACAGACTCAAAAGTAAATATCAAAAGTGCTTCTCTTATTCAGTTTTGCTTGGTACCATTAAAATAATGTTGAGCTAAGTGAAGGCCAGAGAAAGAGCATAAATCATTTAGTTTAATCATTATTTGCAGTTTGCTCATGAATTGCTTGCCATGGTCTGTTGTTTAGTTCCTAAACCAATTATTCTGTGATTTCTCTTTAAGTTTCACAGATACCCTAGTTAAATTAGATAGCACAAAACATAACAAGGCTGATACATTCTCTGTAAAATGGATGTTCCTGTGGGAAAAAAAGAGGTGAAAGAAAGAGTTTAAGGGTCTTAAAGGCACAAGAGGCAAGGGTTTTTGTGATATCTTTTATTGAACCAACTCTAGTTGGGAGAGGTATTGAGCAAGCATTTTGCACACAATAGATGTTATATTTTCAAAAACTATGTAAGTTTGATAACAGTATTTTTTGGTGAATTGCTGTTTGGTTCAGGCTAAAATGGATGGCTCCTGTTATGAAAAAGCATATTTTTGATTCACTAGTGTTCTGTTTTTCTTTTGAAGAATGAAATCATATTTTATATGAAAAGTAAACTTGTCATTGGCCACTATGTAACATTAATATCAGGGTGAACAATAAGGCATCATGCTGCTCTGAACAGCTTCTATGTAAAGGTATCACCTCTTGACTCGGGAAACCACTGGTTAAAATAAGGGCTTAATGTGCCTGTGGGGTGGCAGTATTCCCGTTAGTACTTCATTGCCATCAGACCTAAGAAAACAGGAACTGAATTATTTTTTTAATTTGTACATCAGCAGATTTTCTTACTAAGTTTCCATCACTAACTGTATGGTAAAATATCTCAGAAGGCTTCAGGTTGCATGGCTCCTTATTTGGCCTGTAGAACCTCTTTTATTGGTGGCCATTCATGAGCTGAATAAAGCCAGGTTTAACTTGTAGTGTATGTCTACGTTGCAGTCTCTGTTTCATAGTTGGTAGGGTCGGAAGGGACCTGAGCAGATCATCAAGTCTGACCCTCTGCCATGGGCAGGAAAGAGTACTGGGGTCAAACGACCCCGGCTAGGTGATTATCTAGCCTCCTTTTGAAGACCCCCAGGGTAGGAACAAGCACCACTTCCCTTGGAAGTTGGTTCCAGATCCTAGCCACCCTGTTTAGACTTCAGGTCATGTAAATGTAGTTTGAAGTAGATAGCTCCAACAGTTGTAGCACTAAGTTCAGGGTGGTCTAACTGCCTGAGTATTTACCCAGGGTCCCAGATGGATTTTGGAGTTTATACTGAATCCCATGCTTCCATCACTACCACACTGTTAAGACTAACTCTAATATGTTTACACAAGTCATAAGTAGGCATGCCTTCAGAGCTTGCAGGCCTGGCACTTAGGAAAAAAATATTTATCTGTAGACTGACTGCTTTTGATAAAGAAATTATTAAGCTGCAATAAAAATGGAAACCCAGGAGGCTGTTTTTATATAGGCACTTTTTAGAAGAGAAACAAGCTTTACATATTTTCCATTCAGGCTTTTGATCGTGCTTACATCGTTTTTATTGTTTGAGAAAGTAAAACAGATATAATATTGCACAGCCTGTATTCTGAGCAATTACTTTTGTCTGAAGGTACGCATAGACAATCACACTTTGCAGTTGAATAGACTAGAGAATTTCATCCACAGTATTCAAAGTGCGTTATAAACAGGAAGTTTATTAATTTAACTTTGAAGAAAGTTGCACATTGGTTAACTGGGTAACTTGAAAAGCAAAGGGATGTTCGAGGCTGACGAGCTACCCAAAATGTAATGGGCCTTAGGCTTACAGAGATAATGGATCATAGTGTGTCAGAAAAGTGAATGTGTTTTGAAAGGCATTCACCAGTAGTTTTATGCAGAAATGATGCATTTGTACACGAAGTTCCTTCATTGGTTCAAATAAATCCTTCAGAATATATCACACTAACTTGGAGAAAAAGATTTATTTTGTACAATATTTTAATAAGTATTACATAGATATGCGAGCCTTAATGCAAGAACAAGTATGTAAGGAGCTCCTCATTAGCTTCACAATTGGGATTTAAGCAAAAGGGTTTCCAAAACCAGAGAAAATCTGCCGTTACATTTTATGGTATTTAATCACTGGAATTGCCAGTGGACATTGTGTCACATATTGCTGCAAATTTCCAATCTCAACAGCTAATCACAGCTAGCATTAAAGCGTTTTCTCTTCCCTTTGACTGCTGTAGGTGGATGGGAAAATAAGCTCCCTGGTTTCATAACACTAGGTAAAGATCAAGAGGGCCTGTTCTTGATCATTCCAATCTAGCAAGTGAAGGTGATACCCTTATAGTGTAATTATGGAGTCCTTTGATTTGGTAGATTTGTGATTTAGGTTTGTGTCCACAAATTCCATTGGTGTCAGTGAGAATTCCACTGTGAATCAAGACCATATTAGGATCTTACTAAAATAATTTCACTGTCTAGCATCCTCCTTCAAAGTTCTTCAACTCTTTACTTTCTAACTAACACTGAGTCTTTAATACTTTAGGTTTCGAGGTAGGTTGGAAGTTCTAAATATTGCAGCTAATGCACATGACTTCAGAAGATTCTGATTTCCAAGGAAAAGGAGCTGAGATATAACCAGTCCCCGTGCCATGATCTGTAAAAGTGTCTGCAAAAGGCAGTTTTCTCTCGTCTGCCTGAATGCCCTGAGATGAAATAGCCAAGAATGGCTAGTTCTCATCAAGACCTATTGATTGAATTTTATTGTTCTGTAGACAGCCAAATGCTCTCCTATTTCTTTCTCACTTCTAAAACTTTTGCTCAGGTTTCACATTTAGCCTGAGTCATTATGCAAATTTACCCCAAAACATTTTCTATAACATCAGGAAGTAAGGCATTTAGTATATGATCTGGTTTCTTGACAAATGTGGGTCTGTTTAAACAAAGGGGGGGTGTCAAAAGCTAGCTTGATGATGCAAAATAATTGCCTGCAGAGTAAGAGGAAATATATCAAAGGGATTCTTAACAAAGATCTATGTTCCTTTAGTGTGAACATTCACCGGTGCCCAACTGATGACTTACAGCCTCTAGCGAACATGAGTCTAATGCATTCACAGATTGTGCTTGCTAACTCCTCGCAGTAGAACTTAATACCTGCAAAATGCACATTTAAATGCTTTTGCTAAGGAGAAAGTGGAACAATGAATTATATATTGCATAAGAGCGAAAGGCTCATGAGGCAGAAACAACCACTTCTTTGAAACAAAATGGAGCCATTTAGTTCTTGGGTTAGAACTGCATGAAATCCTAAATTCATTTAAAAATAGGATGAGGTGGGCTTAACTTCTATTTACATCAGCAAACGTGATACCAGGGATACGCTGCTTATTCACTTGCCTCTAAAGTCTTTCTATTTTCTCTTTGTTATTCCAAGGGATACAAGGAGTTGTGGAAGCTTATCAGAGCTGCCTTCCAAAGCTACAGCTTTATGGGCCAACAAATATTGCTCCCATCATCCAGAAGGTGGCTAAATCAGCATCAGAGGAGACCAACACAAAGGAGGCTTCGGTAAGAATAGTGACCTGGCAGGGTTGGAGTTCATCTTTATTGAAAGTCAGGAAGGTCGGGGACACAAAACTGCATAAACCGGTTTGACCCAAATCAGTTACGTCTGATACTACAGTCAACCAGGTTTGTCTCAAACCAGTTTCAGCCATTTTCAAACTGGTTTATGTGCACTGAACATCTGTTCGGTTACAGGTTTAAACCAGTTTCTGATAACTTAAACCTGTTTATGTGTAATGTCTGTCCCTAGCCAAAATGGCATACTTAAATATAAGAAATTAATAGGTACATACTCGTGCTCATACTCATGGTAGGTAAAGCATAAATTGCTTTACCTAGACTAAGAATAATCCAATAATCTTTTCCTTTATCTCAGGTAATTAAGACTTGTCAATATAGAAGATGTCCTGTTCAGGAACATTGTCTTATTTCTTCCTACCCCAACTTTTACTTTCAGCTTTCTCAACATTTTAGACAGAAATGATCCTACCTTGGACAGGGGGTTGGTCTAAATGATTTCCTGAGATCCTTGTCAGCCCTTTTTGTCTCTCATTCTATCATTTGTATTTCAACCTCACCATACAATGTCTAAATCCATGTCTGTGGTCACTGAGTCACACTGAGTAATGAAACTGTGATGAGAGAGACTTGGAGACCATTATTTAAAGATTATTTCTGTAATCTGTGGCATTTAAGATCACCATTTGAAAGATATTCATCCACAAAAAGGGAATGTTTAATTGGCAAAAAAGTAGAATGAGTTCTCTAGAAAATGGCCAGAAAGTTCATGCAAAACAGTAGTGTCTTGTGGCGTTTTCTAGTAAGTGACCATCACCCCTTCCTGTGGCACTTTCACGATCCATGTGCACAGGTTCACCCAAACCAACCCTTCGTTGTTAGACATATCTGATAGGATCACCCTACCATCATGAGTTTGTCAGGATTTCAGACTCTGTAAAGCCAGGGTTGTCATATGTATTTCCTTCTTTGCAAAGCTTCTTAGACCCCTGCAATAACATCACTACTATTATTATGTATAATATATAATACATACATAATAATGTATGTTATGTATAATAATATATCTTTTAACAATAATAATACTTGGCATTAACATAGCACAGATTACTTTATTATGAAAGCTTTGAAATACCCTTTACTCGACCAAAGAAAAGCAGCGACCTTGAGGCAAAATTCAGTGCTAGGAGCCGGGAGATGTGAGTTCTGTTTCTGGCTCTGCTGCAAACTCCTTAGGTAGGGCTGGCAAAAGCACTTGTCCTTCACTGACTTCAGTGGGAGGCAACACCAGCAACTATAGGAAATCCAATCTCTCGTTTGTCTCTGGGCAAGTCACTAAGCTGCTTAAGGCCACTATTTCCATTGTAAAATGGAGATGCCAGTAAACAAAAGAGATTTGTCTGATGGGTGTTATGAAACTGATGCCCTTTTCCTGAGAAACTTGGATAAGAGGTGCTGTAGAAGGACAAAGTGCTGTTGCCATTTTTTAATAGAAGAAGTATCAGTGGTACAGGAAAGCCAAATGGTTTGTGCAGGGCCTTCAGCAACTTATTCATGGCTGCTGTGCTGACAGTGATCCTTGTAAGCCTATTCTAAATTTTCAGCAAAGATATCCATAGAGAAGATGCAGAGTTCAAATTGTTTACTCATTACTAAAATATAAATCCCTTTTAAGCTCCTCCCTCCCCACTCCTACTGGCCTTGTTTATCTTCTGTAATTAGATACGGATTGCGGCATTATCTTCGGATTCCTTGAAAGATGTTTCTGAAGAGTCATATGTTTCTCTTTTCACATTCTGTTTCACCATACTACATCACAATTTCTGTGAAGCCACTTGATATTCTGTGGATTACTAACAGTACGAATGCCACTTACATCAATATCATAATGATGGACACTTTACAAATGACTACATTAGTAAGATCTTGTTTAAAGCGTATTGATTTTTAAGCTGGACAGAAAAAAGAAATGTTTGATTTTTCCATTGCCTTTCACCTCATGCAGTCATTTATGTCTGTGAAAAATGCTTCAAATCAGAATGTAGTAGTGTTGCAGTGTTGTTGCCATACCCAGGGTAACCCAAAGAATACCAGAAATCAGTATGGTAGCTCTGTAGATTCACTTTTCAGAGGCATAGATGACAGCATAAGATACAAACATTTACAGATTCTGCTTTAACTGCATTGATCTTAGAATAAGGATCAGCAACCTCTTACTAATGCAATATGCAACTTGTGACCTAGCCAGTGCCACAGCCACCATTCCCCTCCAACTGCTCCAGTGAAAGCAAACAGAGGCTGGAGCAGCTAGCTGGAACAACCAAAGGTGATCTGTAAGCCCTTAGCAAAACACGGACCAGATCAAATGGCTGGGGATTGCCAGGCCCGCGGTAAAATGCAGACTTAAGATCAGACTTTTGTGGGCCAGATTCAGCCTCTTTACAGGTCAAATCTGGCCTATGGGCCACAAGTTGTTAACCATCGTCTTAGATGGTGAACATGAATGGTTAAGAAAAATTCCTCTGCAGACAACCCATTTAGACCAAATTGTATAGAGTAAACAGGAACTTCTTGTGTTCCAGTTCTGTGCTGTTCCAGGATCATATCTAATCTTAGGTGCATCTATACATGCAATTAGGGTGAAGAAATAAACTCCAGCACAGTTTGTGCTGGAGTTTCTCTCTCCCAGGTGCAGTGCTTACATGTGTGCCCAGGACTGGGGCAGAGAACTCTGGGCTGGCAGGTAGCTCGGAGGAAGGAGGTCAACCCCGGACTTCAGGTGGCAGCATCGGATGGCAGAGAGGCTGGCTGGGAATGAGGGTGCTATAATACAGGGCTAGCCAGCAAGCAGCCTTCTGCACTGTAGCACCCTCATGTCCCAGCCAGCCCTGGTCACTGTCTACATGTCCATTGTGGCAGTATAAATTATTCTGTTATAGGATAGTACTTGTCCTGGACAGTAGGGCTGTGCGAAACGGCTGTGTTTCGATTCAGTTTCAGATTCAGCTGTTTCAGAGGGACAGTGATTCATTTTGGTGTTTCAGATTATTGTTCCATTTCGATTCGGTCAAATCTGTTTTGGAGTTTCGACGCTGTTTCTGTGATTTGGCCATAGGCTATAATGGGGAATCGCTAAAATGCCTATAACTTTGTCTTGCCTGATTCAGAGGACAGTTGCAGGAATGGTAGCCCCTTCTGAGGGCATGAAGGCTGCCAAGTTTCAAGGAGATAGGTGCAGGGGGTTGTATGAAACTGCATCTTAAACTATTCAAAGGAAAACTCGTATCACTTGCCAGCAGTGGCAGCATGCTGTCATCCCACACGCAGATCTGGGGGCCTGAGCCCCCCAGGAGGGCTGCAGGGCTGTGCCAGACTCCTCCTGGGGGACGCGGGCCCCCGGATCTGTGCACGGGATGACAGCAGGCTGCTGTCCCTCCCCCAGACAGCTGGGAGTGGAAGGGACCTCAGGGACAGCTCGCAGACACTGGGCAGCTACAGATGTAAATATCAGAGCAGTCCTTCCCTGCTTCTTCCCACACCCTCTTAGTTTCTGTTACCCTGCAAGCCCTGCTCCAAAACTCCGAAATTTTCCAAAACATTTCAGATAGTTTTGTTTTGTTTCAGAGATATTTCAGAGCCTTCCGTTTCATTTTGGATTTGGTGTTTCAGGCACCAAAACGGGCCAAAACACCTCCAAAATGAAACGGCTGCTGAAGTTTCGCACAGCCCTACTGGACAGTACTGTTCTACAGCAGAGTTAATTAATTTACTGTGCCCTAATATGGGTGCACATGTAGATAGTAACGCTTTATTAATTAGATGCACCCCCTCAGTCTGAAAACTATGGTTATAGAGCTTTTAGTTTGCTCTTGCTGCCATAGTTAGGTTACTTTAGAACTAATAATAAGTCTGTGAGCCTCAGATGCATGACAGTTTCTCTTAAGCTGAATGATTTAAATGCATATGGTAGAAATGTAATGTACTTATTCTTCCTCTTGCATACAATCCAAAATGACTCAAAGTGAGGGAGAAAATGTATTACCCGATATACAGTTGGCTCTGACAATAAGCAGGTCTAGCAAAGCTGTTGGAGACAGAAGTCAAAGAAATCCTTGCATGTCTCAGAGGAGAAAACTGCATTATGTATCATGCTAGGACAGGTCTATACAACGGTACATGCTCTTCATCTCAGTTGGGTCTTTAAGCTTTCTTCTTCTATCTGGTATGTGTCTGCAGGATGTTTTACTCTTAGCACATTTTTATATAGAGTAGTTTAATGCAGAAGAGGAAGAGTGGTGAATTATAACATGATGTAACCTTTAGAGATTAGACCACTTGTTTCCAAACTAGAGGCTGTGGCAGTTATGAGTCACGTTGTGACTCCAAGGGATCTTCTAAATCCTACAAGGCCGCACTTACCTCATATGCCCTTCACTGGGGTTGAGCATTACCGCACCTCACCTCTTGCCTTAGGAACTGTTTTTGTGCCCACACTTGCCCTTCAGTAAGTAGGACTCAGTATGGGTCAATTTAACTCTTTTACACTAGGGTAAATGCCTTAGTTGAGCCCTCACTGAGAGGTGAGAGTTCCTGCAGGAGAGCACAAAGAGCAGTCCTACAGAGTAGCTGAGGCACAGTAAGTCTCTGCTCCTTGATAACTGCAGGCACATTAATAGTAGTAGCTCTGTATATACAACTACTATACTTGGGCAATTTGCACAAAATTGTCTGCCTGTAAATGCAGTTGTGACTGAAATAATTTAGGGAAGTGCTGAACTAGCTCTGCTGCTGAATTAATGTGTGACCTTGGACAAGTTCCTCCACCTCTCTGAGCCTCAGTTTCCTTACCTTTTAAATAGGGATGTTAATGTTTAGCCACTTGTGTAAGAAGTTTTGACATCTCTAAATGAGAAGTGCTGCATGCATTTTATTTAGCTTTTAATTTAATGTGTGGTCATAACTGCATCATTGAGTATCTGAGAGGCATGTTCAAGGGAATGTTCGTTGACTAAAATATAGGAAACTGCGGGCAGTATTTTTCACACCTAAGCTCTGTTACATCTGTGCTTTTATACAAAAAAGGAATTATATTGCTGAATGACTTAAAGATAAAAAATTCTTGGTGTTCTATTGTTTCCATATGCAGAAGGCAGTGAACATGTGCGCGTGTGTTTGGGTTTTTTTATGTATGTCTGTATGATATTGTAAATAAGGCTTCCTTTTGTTCCATTTTTCTATGTTGTCACCATGCATGCAGTAACAATTCTGCTGCTCCTTATGTAAGAAACAGTTTCTTTCTAAAGTACAGTCCTTTACACTTCAGCTTCCTTATTGCCCAAAAAAGAACCAACTACAAGTAATTCTTCTTCATTATCAAATGAAGGTCTTATATCCCGAGATACCAAAACACTCAATCACCCTCAGAAAGTAGAGAATGAGAAAACGTGACCTCGGGAGTTCTGCATGGAGAGTATGAAAATGGATATAGTCAGTTCCGTATTCATTTTTCCACTTCCACCTCACCCTTTCCCTGGTAGGGCTTCAGTCATTCTTCCAGATCACAGAAGGGCTCTTTCCATTGCCACCAGTCCTTTTATGGATGCCAAGGTATGGGTAACCTGCACCTTCCCCAGCTGCAAAGCTGGCATTCTGCAAAGAGCTGCTGTAACTCCATGGTGATTCTTTTGTCTCCACCTTTCTTCTCCTTCCTCTGATTCCCAGCCAAAGAATGTATCCATGAACCACCAGTAGAGGAGAGAGAAAAAAATGACACACAGAATACAGACCCGGGTAGCATAAGACTGTAGAAGTCTTGATCCTAGCAGCTGGAAGTATGCCCTTTTCTTCAGCCAAATAATTCCCTTAGCTTTTCCTTAACTCCTAGAAATTAATCAGGTAAACCCAGCTAAGGACAATCTAGGACTTGTACCCAAAGGGCATTTGTTCATAAGGAAAGTGCACTGTATTCTGGGAGCATTTGAAAGCTCCAAAATTATTGCTTTAGTGGTTGAGAGAGAGAGAGATGTATTGTAAAAGTCATGAAGCTTAAAATATTGAACCAATATTTTTTTTTCCTCTCCCTCTTCATTCCTAAAACCAGCAATACTTCATCTTACTGATTTTGACTGATGGTGTAATCACAGATATGGCTGACACCCGAGAAGCCATTGTTCACGCTTCCCACCTGCCTATGTCCGTCATCATTGTTGGGGTTGGAAATGCTGATTTCAGTGACATGCAGATGCTAGATGGTGATGACGGGATCCTGAGGTCCCCCAAGGGTGAGCCAGTTCTTCGGGACATCGTCCAATTTGTACCATTTCGGAACTTCAAACATGTAAGCCAGATTTTGAGTCTGTTTGTGTAGAGGTTAAACTGCTCTTAACTGAAATAACGCTTTGGAAGTGCTAGCCGCATGGCATTATTTGTTAGGAACATGAAATGGGGAAAATTAAGACCTGAAGGAGACTAAGATCTATTAGTGAAAGGAAAAACAAGAGTGTATAAAAGCGCTGGGTCAGTGGACAATTGATGTGCATTTTAAAACAGTCTGAGCCTCAAGGCCTGCATTTGTCAGTTTATCCTCCATCTCCCCCTCTTTATTTCTGTCTGCCTTCCCCAATTTGTTTTTTACCCCATTTCCTTTTTCTACTTCTGTTTCTTCCCTTAAGGTCATGACATCCATCATGGTGGCTACCTCCATGTATAGGCTAGAATCACCATGAATTTGAGTTTGCAGTTCAAATTTGAGCTTATTTCTTCGAAAAAAAATCAACCTCCTAACCAGCAGAGACAGGTCTATGTATCATGAGGCCCTGTGCTCCTTGTTTTCTCCACAACCTTTCCCCTCTCTGACTTCTATATGGCTCCAACAGAGCTGTGTTACCAGGAACTTCACAGCACATCCTTCCAGCCACAGCTCCCCTGAGCCTACGTTCTGGGGATGCAGTGGAAGGAGGTAGATCAGAAAAGAAGTGAAGTGAACAGGACCAGCATTAGCTTCCCTGCTAGATCTGATGGATGAATGTTGCAATGGAAAACTGATATTTGCCATCACCTCCTACACTGCAGCTCCATCTCTCAGGGGCATTTACAGGGGCAGGGAAAGGTTAGCACCATCCCCCAGAACCATCACTCCCACACACAAGTAGTCTTTAATTCTCATTTCTATTGGCATGGGTGGAACAGATAGCAGATCTGTTACCAAGGAACTTTTTCTTGTGAATGGTTTGTCTCTTTTCCTTGACACTCATTTATCCTTTCTTTTGCTCCATTTCTCTCCCTTTCCTTCTTCCATGTTTGTTTCCCCTTCCTACCTTTTTTATAGCCTATCTACCCATTTTTGCATTAAGGAGCCTTGGAACTATGTTTTCAGGTTTTGATTTTGCATAGTTCTTTATGTTACAGTATAGATGCATTTATTTTTCTTGTGGAATTGACCAGTGCCCCTGTCCTAGTGGTCTACAGTACTTGGATTTCAGGAGCATTAGGGTCATGTCATGTCACATCACGTCACGAGTTGTTCAAGTGGGTTTTCCCCCTTCCATTTTGTAGCCTTTCCTTTTTATTACCACAAGGAGATTTACTTTATTTGAACTTCTGTTTATTTTAACTCTTTCTTCTTCTAACTATTGCTTTGCTATATTTTATTGATACAGACACATCCTTCCCACATCTACATGAGATATTTTTGGAAGCATTAGCCCTATCCTCACAGAATGATCTTGTTCTTCTCTTCTCTCCATTTTATTGCAGAAATTACAGGGAGACAAATTCCTAGCTGGTGTAAAACTGTCATTATTCAATTCATTTAAGTTAAGAGCATGATGACAGTCAGCTGAGGGTCTGCCCAAATTTATACATATATCCATTTACACATCAGCAATGCTACAAGGCCAGCTATTAAGTACCAGCTTTAACAAAGTCTGAGCGTGACCTGCTCATAATTCATTATTCCCTTTCTACAGATAATCAGTGTGCAGCTTTCCATTTTAAGTGTAGTGTATTGTAAAAGTGTTGAGAAGCAAGTTATTTATGAGTTGGTGCTAGACCTACTTTAAATTAGCTGAAAATATGTTTCTGTGGGGGACTGGCAAAGCCAGCTGCATTCATTATTTTTAGTTTCACATTGTGACTTTATGACAAAGTTGAAATCATCCTTGATTTTAATAGATTAACACCAATGGTAGCGATTCCATTTGGACTCTGAATATATTGTGCTGCTACTGACAACTTGAGTGGTTCTTTGTGGGATTTTAATTGCTAATACTGGCTAAATTACAAGTATATATTATTTTAGTAGTTTTAGGTTAATTTCCATTAATGTGGAAGGATGACAAGCTTGGAAAGTTATTAGACACATTAAAGAAGAGAAACTTGATCTTTCCTACTAGACATAGATAACAGTTATCCAAGAAAAAAAGGAGGCGGCAGGGGTGTCAACAGTCTAGCCATGCATTGGGCTAGCATGGTTAAGACATTGTGACAGCAACACTTCTGGCCCCCTTTGGCTCTCCTGTCTAAATGACCTGCTGCTCATTTGCAAGATCAACTGAGAGCGACCTTTGGCTCAGCTCTGGAGTAACACTCCAGTTCATGCCCCTGGAGTGGTAGTGCCCCTTATATCGGAAGAACCCACATACCTTACAGAACTTGTTATGTACTCTCTTCATTGAGATCTTGAACATCTCAGTTTATAAGACACACAGTGAAATAGATACCAGCTTGTGAGGGTAACCAATGTTAATGGGGGTCACTTGAAACATTTTGCAAGCTCATGTCAGTTTCTTCCAATTGTTTTTGCCAAATAAAGTTAAAAAAAACCTCTAAAAAATTAAAAACATTTTATTTTTTTTGTTTAATATAAAGAAACATTTTGAATTTATTTTAAATATGGCATTTTATTTATAAGTGGACTTTCATTTAAATTCTAAAAAGCTCAAAAATGAAATGTTTTGTTCAACCTGAAGCATTTTTCTCCCATCTGCTGGAAAATTTTTAAAAGAAACCCTTATTTTAGTTGACCCCAAATTCATCCAATGAATTGAAAATTATGTAGTCCTATTGCTGTACTTCAGGACTGCCAACTTTTAAGCAACCATGGGTTGCGTACCCCATTGGCCACACAATAGTGAGTCACAGGCCCCCTGGATGTGGATGACCCCCCCCCACTGCACCATGTACCCACACAGGCACCTTCCCACACCTGTACCCTGCATCTGTGCAGACCCAGCCTCACCCTCAGCTCCCTGCACTGTGCTGCACTGCCCTACCCCTTTGGGCAGGGACAGGGAGCAAAAGCCAGAGGAGGAAGGGGGAGCAACGCAGTGAGAGTGACAGCTTGGATAGGCTGCCATTTAACCCCTTGTGGGCTGCATGCAGCCAGCAGGCCACCAGTTGGACAGCTGTGCTCTACTTTTTAAATCACTGTCACTCAAGCTTTGTGAGCTTAAGAATAAAAGAAAGAGTCACTCTAAATAAGCATATAAAATGGATCCTTTCTACTTTGTAGGATTGAGTTTAGTACAGGTCCTGACCCAGAAAAAACACTTAAGCATATGTATAATTAAGCACACAAGTCTTCATTTAATTCATTAGGATTACACATATGCTTAGAACTGAATATGCTCTTAAAGGCTTTCTTTGCTGAATTAGGATTTGAATAGGAAGTAAGGGCCTAAAGCTGTGAAGTGCTAAGATCATCCTGCAAGGTGTCAAGTATAACTTGGCAAGATAAGACCCTTGTAGAATAAGCATCACTCAAGGCAGCAAGCTTACCTTCTTGAGTATCTTTCTACCAGGCACACTCTTGAAGCTGTAGAAATGATAATAATTTTGGTGGTTTTTAACAATCCAGATAATCACTATCGTTAAAAGTAATTGTCCCATATAGAAAAAGCATTGTGCATTTTGGCTGGATTCCATGTTGGCTACTACACAGTAGCATGAAAATAGAAAAAGTGTTTTCCCTGAACTGAACTGAATTTCTGCCCTTCAAAATTATCATTGTCCAAACAATTTGTTTTTCCTTCACTTATAAAGGTAGAGTAATGATGCCCATAGACAATGGATAAATGTATAAGAATATAAAAAGTGTGAGACAAATGCCATTCTACAATGGATATTTTAAACACTGAATTTTTCTGCTTTTTGGAGGCATGACAGATTTACTCTGCACAAATCTAATGCAATGCATGGCTTGTATTCCATTCTCTTTTGTGTTTAATCACAAAGCCTAACGAGTGTGATTTAATAACACATGCCATGGATGAGTGCCGAAAGCTAAGCTCTTACCTCAGTGAGGAGCAATGTTTTCCACTGTACCTTGTAATTAAAGATTAGGCAGGGTGAGGCTTGAGAAATGAATCAACAGTCATTTGTAATATATACCAATTATCATCATAGGGGATTATTTTTCTACTGCTTGTTGATCTGTTTGTTGTGTGTTAACCTCAGTTAAGGAAGTATTCATCTCCGCATATTTGTTGCTCTGCTGTTCAGGCATCACATTTAAATGCAGGAAAAAAAAAAAAGTGTAGCAAAATGAATATACCAGCTGCATTAAATTCCTAAGAACATTTTTAGAGTGTCCATTGGCACATGTGCACTTTACAGAACAAAGGGTAGGGTCTTAGTCACATTTACACTAAAAACAGTTCACAATATGTTAGCTTGACACTTGGCAAAAAGGGGGCATTAGAGTCAGTGCATATTTCCAATGCAGTGGGAATGACGCCAGTGCTCTACCACAGCCAGCCCCAATTTTGGAATAAGATCCACCAGCTTGCACACCTATACTTGAAGTTGCACTCAAGTGAAAGGAGTTCTATAAAGCAGTAATGGTCCCTGTTAGAAGGTCTATTTAAAGCAGGGGTGAGCAAAATGTGGCCCGGGGGCCAGATGCAGCCCACCAGGCCATTCTGTCTGGCCCACGGGGCCCCTAAAAAATTTAGAAAAATATTAATCTGCCCTGGGCTGCCTGTCATGTGGCCCTCGATAGCTTGCCAAAACTCAGTAAGCAGCCCTCTGCCCAAAATAATTGCCCGCCCCTGATTTAAAAGATCAAAGCTTTTTTTAAAGTAAGATGAGACTGGCTTCAGGGGTGGATTAACCCTTTCGTGGGCCCTAGGCAAACAAACTTGTGGGCCCCTACTTAATACTGTATATTTATATTCCTTTTTTTTTTTTTTTTTAAACTCAGTAAATATAATATGTAAAATAAGCACAACTAGGCCCCTTCTTCAGGCCCTAGGCATGTGTCTAGTTTGCCTATGCATTAATCTGGCCCTGACTGGCTGCGTGGTGGGATAGGAAGGTGAGTCCAGGCCCAGCACAAAGATTTTTGCCACCTGAAGCATCATGGCAAGCCCAGCCTGACCAAGCATGCGTGTGCTGCCTACACACCAAGAGCATTTGCAAGCTGCCTGCCTGCCCAGAGTGCTGTTTTTGCCATCCTCCTACAATTTGCCACCCTAGGCAGCCACCTGTACTATCTGTATGGTTATGCCAGCCCTGGGTGAGTCATGCTGTGTTGATCTGATTTATCTTAATTATTAAATATTCATACATCCCAGTGGAGTCAATGAGAACTGCTGGTGCACAGTATATTTGAAAAATGAGCCAGGCCAGGTCCCCTGGCGACTTGTTTTTGAATTCACGTGTTGTGTTTTTTCCCTTACCTTTCCACTCCTTTCTGTAGAAGTGTATTTTCCCTCCAGCTGACACAGAAGCACTGGGTAATGTGTTTCCAGCTCTTGCACATTTGGGCTGGAATTTTCCAAAATGCTTCCACTGAGACATATGGGAGCACTTGTGAAAATCCTACACTTTTCTTTTAAAGAGAGTAAAACAAAAGAGCTCAAGAACGTCTGATTTTTGGGGAAAAAATGTCTACATGTGCAGTCATCAGAAGGATATGTCCTGCCCGTTTATTCAAAAGTTTCTCATTCGTTGAGTGCCTTAATGTCTCTGTAGATTTCAGCAATGATATCAAAATATGAAAATATGTTCTTTTTCACTCACTTTTGCACATGACTAATAAAGTATGAGGCTTACAATACAAATGATATTTTGCTTCCTCTGATGTTTGCTAGTACTTCCCTGAATTTTATAACATGAATGAATATTATAATATTTAGTTACTATTAAATATATGTAAATGAGGTGCATTTTTCTATGCTTCTGGATTCATGCCTTTATAAATACATTAAAGTAAACATACAGTTCACTTTCTATATGAAACAAATTTTCAGTTTCTCTTGAGAGAAGCACCCAGCCCAGTGACATAAGAAAAGAATCAATCAGGTATTCTAATCATCTTATACATGGCAGTGCAACTAATGCTCTGAACCCAAAGTATTACCTAGAAAGAATGAGGTTAAAAGTGCCCACTAGCAAAAACTAGGTATTCTGTATTGAGTAGTTAGTAACCACATGATTGAATGCTGCCTTGCAGAAGTCAGTTGTTTAAAAAGAAAGGATCTTGTAACTGAGCTTAGCTATTGATATACATTCAATAATGTGATTTATGGCCCATTGCAACTACCAAAGTCAAATGGGAGCCTTTCCTTCAAAAATCAGTGGGAGCTGGTTCTTTCATTAGCACACCTTGTCAACACTTGAGAGGTTTTGGAAACAGATATATTCAAATGCTTGGAGCTAGTCATGTCCAAGCACAGGGCTTCTTCAATTGTTGATTCATTTCTTTGCCTGAGTAGACCAACAGAACTCAACTCGGTCACAAGAGTCCACTGCTAGGGCTCTAATTATAGTATTAAGTTCACTTTGACAGTTTAATAACAGTCCAACAACATACCCAGACAAGTCCTTTGCCATTAGCTGTGATGTTCCCAGACATCCACAGTCAGAGACATGCTATATTTAAAGAAAAGAATTTGTAGTGGTGTGAGCCAGTGTTTCTGGTTTTAGGGCCCCCCTCTACACATGCAGGTAAAGGCACAATAGGATCCAATATGCAGTCCACACAGTTGCACCTCCTGCAATACTGCATATGCATGGCAGGAGGTGTGATTGTGGGAGCATGCGTTAGATTCCGTTACACCTTATTGCTGATGCAGAAGGGAGCCTAATCCTGGGCTCCCGTACACTGGCAAGAAGCAAGTTTCCACAGTGGGAAGCCCCTCAACTGAGAGCAGGCCCATGCACACCCTGGGGCTGGGGATTCATGGCTGCCATGCTCCACCAGGCCCAGGAATTTCACACACCCCTGAACCTGGGAGATTGCAGCAGGCACAGGCCTGGGAGTTTCATACTGGGCATTGTATGCTCCTGCAGCTGGAAACCCTGTCAGTTGACAGGGCTCTCAGCCCAAGGGAGACCCTGCTACATGTGCAAATTAAAGTTTAATATCAACCACCTATAAAGTTAGTACACATTTTTTAGGTCTACCTGTATAACTGTTTGGAGCTTTTTATGGCATGATAGCTACTTTGCACATGTAGCTAATCTTAAGATAATTGTGCAATTAACCAGTTAATTGCATGATACCTGTAACTTGCAGAGGGGACTTTAATAATGGCAGTAATTTGTAGTCCCAATGATGCATGACCCACGTGCTTACACTCTCTCTGCCTTCAAGGAGTTTAAGATTAAAATATGGTAGATCATACTTAATGTGACAGAGCTGAAACTCATAATATATTTGGGGGGGGGGGGGGGGGCAGGGTTACAAAGCCCATAAAAAAGTGAAAGGTCTACCTAGTAGTCCATTAGGCTACAAAGCATGGCCTTTCCTATAGCCAACAGCACAGAAGGCAGTGCTACAGCTAGCCTCACATCCCCAGCCTGAGAACCTGAATGCTGATTACAACTAGGATGAGTGAAGGTGGCCTTTGGTCCAAGTCTGAAGGGAGGCTGAGACTTGCAGTAACAAGAAGCCATAACCAGTCGAGCCCTATGGAGTATTAGTGAAATACTTTAATTAGTTCATTTAAATTTGAATAAATACAGTATTTATTTGGATGGTAAAATTTCCCTGAAACTTAAATCTTGCACTATTCACTGGCTAGAGCATGACTGACACTCAGGCCCTTCTTCTTACAAAGATTTTGCAGACATGTTCAACTTTGTCTAACATTTGTTTAACATAAGTCTTCCCAGTCTTCTGATGAGACAGTCCTTCTCGTTATGACTGGCTCTTTTCTGTTGCACAGTCAGGCTAAGAATATACACAGGTGCAGCAGCTGTAGTGTAAGGCCTCAGTCCTATGTTCTGATCTGCATGGATGGACTCTTGTGTCTGTGCAGTCATGTGGTCTTCCACTAGGCTTGATGCCAATGAAGGGGTCTGCCAGCACTAAGGTACTCGCAGGATCAGGCTCTAAAATAGTCACTTGTTTGATATTGGTTTCTCTATTTTTTAAGTCACACTCATTGCCATGACCTCATGATGCCTATGGCTATAAAACTAGTCAGCACCTTTTGCATAGTCCTGGGTTAACACTGTGTTTTTTACCATTTCCTGCAGGCATCCCCAGCTGCGCTAGCAAAAAGCGTTTTGGCTGAAGTTCCAAATCAAGTGGTGGACTATTACAATGGCAAAGGGATTAAACCAAAATGTATGTCAGATTATGAGTCTTCCAGGACACTAGCTCCATGAACCTTCCCCGCACACTTTTACAGAATTAAAAAAATACTACTAATGACAACTACTGTACTTTAAAACAAAACAAACAAAAAATAGCATGTTTTGGTGATTTTTAACTCAAATATTAATTTTTTTTGCATGTGTAGCCTTAAAGGCTTAAATCTGTTAAGCAGTTGTATTGTTGAAAACTTTTTATGAGAAAACAGGAATTAACTCTTTACATTACAGCATGTCGCCTTGAAATAAAAAGTTATCTGTATCTGTTTTTTTATACAGGTTTGTTGAAATTTTGCTAAATTTCTTATCTTTACACTGTAAAGCATTTTGAAACATTTATTGAGAGTCGATAGCCAAAACGTCTTTGGTTTTATCTGCTATGGACTGAAAGATTTTTCAAAGTGGCAGATGCATGAACTGTATCTTGCATGTTTAAAATAAAAACAACACAGTTTTGCAGTTGTTGTCCTTATTTCATCCTTGCCACAAATCTGCCTGCTCTAAATCTGTAGTCAACACCTGCATTTCAAGGTAAAAACAGCAAAAGCATTGGCAGATGCTTCTAGAAGACCACCGCCCTAAGCATGGCCATTTCTAATGACAGCAGCTTATAACAAGGGTGCCCCAGTCAGCCCACCATGGTCTTGTTAAAGGCTCAAGTTCAAAATCAAATTACTGTAACTACAACTTCCAAGATATCATGTTCCATCTTATTCCAAGTGATATAGCTGACAGTTACATGGGCTGGATTTTGGCCACCCCTGATTTATAACTGTTGTCTTTTGTTTTGTTTGTTAGTAATTTTCATTTCACCCACAATATCAAATTCTGTGTGGAGCACTGACACGGATTTTGCATGGCCTAGTTTAACAAACCAAGTAGCCTGAAGGCTTCATTCACACAGTTTGTCTGTATACAATAGAAAAACTGGTTTATGATGACAAAATGAAGGCTGTTTTTCAGGGAGAGGAAAGAGTAATACATTGTGAGTATATTCAGAACCTTGCAATTTTTACAAGAAAAAAAAAGAACAGATTATGATGATTTCCAGTGTTTGAATTCTACCTTTTGGTTTTTCAAACTACACAGTAATAAAATATATAACCTCTGAGAGGATGATGGTGACATTTTCTAAAGCTCTCAATTTTAGACTAACTCTGCTCCCATTGACTTCAATAGCAGCAGGGTTTTTAATTAATTTCAACAAAAGAAGAACTTGGCCAATGTTAGTTCTTTGTGAAATACTATCCTAAAAACAGAATTTTTAGGAGGCGTATTTAAAGAATAAGTTCGTGTATAATATCAATCTCTCGCTTTCTTGTTCTTATTTAAAATAGTCTTGATGAATAATTTGGTATCATAGTATGAAGATAATGTATGTACAAGATGTGTGCGGTTATCTATCCAACACAAGCATTTCTATTTCATCTATTTCCTTGCAGTTATTTCTCCAGTTTCCTAGTAACAGTTTCTTCAGGTGATCTGATGTTGAACAGCAGAGATATCTGGTGGCCAGTTTTATTTGGTCATAGGCATAAATTGTCTATAGATGTCCCAAGTGATAGATATCAAATCCACTTTTTCATTTAATGGTTGACTCTGCACTCAGGGTCTGTGTCAACTGATACCAGCTAACACCAATGTGCAGCATCTCTCTCCCTATATGGATGTATTTTTGGAAGAAGCTACAAAGATTTCTCCAAACATCTCTCAAACAGCTCTGCCAATGCAAACCTCAAACACCCTTGATTTTTCTCCTAATTTCTTCTTTTCTACTTCTAGAAAAAGTAAGTTTAGGGATTAAAGCTCTGAAAACTAGTGTTTCTGTATTTCAGTTTTAGCAGTGCCTTATTGTACGATACTGAGGAAATTAACTTCTCTGTACCTCAGTTTCCTTATCTGTAAAATGGAAGATAACTTTGACTGGCTTGTGCCCCAAACAGGTTTTATGAGATCTAATTCATTATTTCTCAAAAAAATCCTTTGAGAGCCTGAGATGAAAAGTACAATAGATACATAAAGCATGTGTTACTTTACCAAAAAATGAAAAAATTCTTTGACAATTGGTTGCTTTTTCTTGTCAGGATCATCCATTGACCTATCACTAACAATGTTCAGTACAACAGTGACTTCATGAAGAAACAAATGCTGCTTAATTGGGACACAATATGCATATCACTGCTAACAGGGAATAGAGGGATACTTGATTTAAAACCAAGAGATTAAATTCCTCCCTGCCTTTTTTAAGGATTAGATGGGCCACAGTAGTCTGTTCTAATCTTTACTGGCATATTTTTTTCTATTTTCAATGTTCCTTAATCTAAAAAAAAAAATTAATACATTTTAAAGCTAAAAGGGACCATCACAATCACTTAGTCTTGTTTAGAGCATATTTAGCTAAACCACCCTCTTCTTCTGCCATACAAATGATATCATGCAGCACTGCTCTGGATAATTAAACCTCCACTGGTTTTTAAGAAGTTACTATTCAGTTAGAAGAGTTCAGGATAGTATTCACTTTTTTTTTTTTTTTTATTTATATCATTGTTTCCTACCCTGAGGAGTTATGAATCCAGGGAACTGGTGCAACTTATCTTGGTTCCTTTATGGTGAGATGGGAAAGAAAACCATAAAATATTCTTCAGTTTGAACACAATGGAAATGGGTGGGAACCAATGATTTTTACATTTGTTGAAGCTGATCAAAAAAAAATTCCACCAAGAAATTGTTTGTTGAAACAATGCTGTTTGATAAAAATTTAAACATTTTATGGGAGCTTGTCGATACTGCCAGTTTTTCCACAAGAAAAAGTTATCAATGTTTTATAAAACAAAAGAACCATAAGGTTAGAAGGGACCTCAAGGATCTTCTAATCCTTCCCCTTCCACAGATTAAGCATTATTGTTCCTTAACTATCCCAGGCAGAGGACTATCTTGCCTCTCCTTAAAAGCCTCCAAGGAAGGAGTTTTCACAGCTTACCCAGGCAGCTGATTCTATTGGTCTGCTGTTCAGCAGTTGTGAATTTAAAACATTTTGTTCCAACAATGTCATTTTGATTCATTGTGACTATTAAGTGAGATAAAAAAATATTGTGTGTGTATTTTTAATGTCATGTACCCATGATATATTGTATTTAATAAAATATACAATTTAAAATTAATTACTTTAAATGATGCTAGCAAAATGAAGTGTTCCAAAGGCACTGAACTGAATTGGGGAGGAGGGAAGAAGAGAGGAGCAATTTCAGAAGCTCAGGCTTTCTTCCCAATTGGAACGAAAGAAATTGAAAATTACTCACAAATTTCAGTTCCCAGCTTGTTCAAGCATTTATAATCTTATCTTTTGGTTTTCCTTAAGAAACACATGTTTAAAGTGCTAGGAAATTGGGGTGAAGTGAATGATTTGAGACATCTGAAGTTCTAGTAGTTTTCTTTTATAATGTAGAGAACTGTCAAATAGCATCCCCTTACTTCGTAAGTAATCTGTCCAGCATGGCTTTCAACTCTTCGGATTTTAAATAGTATTGTATTTAGCTAGTATTTTCCTCTTGTCTATATACAAATAGGCAGAAAACCTTCAGGATTAACAAGAATCTACCTTCTGCTAGAGGTGGTTTTTGGTTGAACCAAATTTTTATGTAGATCTTGTGGTTTCACACAAGAGGTTGCTTAAGATATAAAAAGTTAGCCACATGTTATGTGTAGGTTTCACACTGCATTAAAATCCAGTTTTCAACAATTGGTAATCAAGGCAGATCTATGCTAGGTATGTAATATGGTATGCTACATAAGTTATCCATCATTTTTGCATACGCCAGTAACTTGAACATGCAAGTTTCATGAGAAAGTCTATAGGTGGAATACAACCAAGGGTACACATTTTGTATTCTAAAAAAGAATTTGCTATTACCATTGGTTGAATGAAAAATAGTTTGCCCTGAGTTTTTCAAACAGAAAAGTTTTTCTGATTGTGTGTGTAACACACACACACACACACACACACACACACACACACACACACACACACACACACACACACACACACACACAGTGTCTTGAAAAGGCACATTCATGTTACTGAAAAAAACAAAAAAAAACCACACACACACAGAGCTGGAAACCCCCTCAGTTCATCACCCTACGGGGACTCTGGCATTTAAGACAGCCACATAATGAATATGCGAGTTGTTACAAGATGATGCACTAAAAGTATAGTTAGCCATATGGCAAAAAGGATTTTTAATTAGGCTTTCAAATTTATTTTATTACTCTGAATGATACAGTCCAATAAGATATTAAAGGCTTTGTGATGAGTAATATTAAATACACAAGTACAACTTACAAATGTGTTTTTCCTCACATTTCCTTTAATTTGATTAGGGTTTTTTCATGGTGATCATACTGACTGCAGATTGGCCAGGACAGATTTCTTTATAGATCCTTAGGGCAAAGGATGACAAGTTTCATCCACAATCCTTACTCATTGGGCACATCCACACAAGTGCACATGCACCTCTTGCCCTGCCTCAAACCCCTTTGAGACGAGGCAACAGGCACGTGTGGGAACAAAATGTTCCTAGTGCTGCAAACTTGCAGCGCGGGGAGAAAGTTAAACCCCTGGATATCCAGGGGCCTAAAAAAAGAGAAGTATAAAAAAGCAGTGCAGGGCCCAGTCCCCAACCATGCCCTGAGGCAACCGGAGGCTGGGTCCTCCATAGAGGCCCTCTGGCTGCCAGAGCGTATCTATGGTTGCCCCTCACCCTGGTGCCAGTGGAGGAGGGGGAAGGGGACTGGAGGGGGGACCTCAGCCAGCCCCACCCACTCCCCCTG